CAGACCCATCTTTAGCTCATCAATGTCTCTGGGCCAAACAACTGCTATCACCATAAATAGACAGAACTTCAGACCTATTGCTGAGCTTTCATAGGGTGAACTATCATAAAAACACCCACCAGTGGTGATGTGAAAGGATCTGTGTGTGCTAGGAGGTAGGAGGCTTCTTGTCATATTATAAAACTCATGCTACAAGACATGCATCCGGACAGATACAATAACCGCTTTGCTGATCCCCATCCACCCCTGCTCACCTCCAACCTGTTCTCTATTCAGCAGCCAGGAATCTTTCCAAATGTAAATCTGATCATATTTAAGCTCTTTTGTTTCCACCTTAACTCTTGGAGTACCTTCCCACTGCTCTGAAGGTAAAGGTAAAAAAATCTCTTGCCAGCCTACAGGGTATTAAGTGATCAGGCTCCTGCCTTCCTCACCAGTTTTTTTCTTCCGTGACTCTATATTCGTGCTCTGTAACACAGCCACTTTATTTATTTATTTTTTTAAATATATTTTTATTGATTTCAGAGAAGAAGGGAGAGGGAGAGAGAGATGGAAACATCAATGATGAGAATCATTGATCAGCTGCCTGCGCACCCCTACTGGGGATCAAGCCCACAACCCAGGCGTGTGCCCTTGATCAGAATTGAATCCAGGACCCTTCAGTCCTCAGGCCGACGCTCTATCCACTGAGCCAAAGCAGCCAGGGAACACAGCCACTTTAGATGTCTTTTGATTCTTCAAACACACTATGGTCTCTTCTATCACTGACTTTTGTTCTCACCCTCTATTTGCTTCGTTAGCTCCCAGCTCAAGTCTTCATTACTCTCTGAGTCAGGTTAAGACAACCACTGTAATACCCTGTTCTTTCCCCTTCAGAGTACTTGTCATAGTTTGTAGTTGGATAGTTGTTACGATTACTTGATAAATGTCTGTCATCTCTAACAGATTGGAAGCCCTAGGAGGGCAAGAACTACGTCTCTTTTCATACCGTAGTATCCTCAACCGTGAAAGTATCCCTGGCACATGAAAGGTACTTAGCAATGTGTGTATGTGTACGCATGTATGCGACTGGTCAAGTGTCTGGATATACAAAGTAAAGCAGACCTGGACTGTGGTGACTTCATAAGGGGACACCACAGTGAGTGGCCCTCAAAGCAGCCCATCTGCTTCCCTCAAGGGCAACTCTCTGGCTGGGCTGCTGTCAACTGCAACTTATAACAGGATATGCCACCTACTTGCTTGGTTTCTGAATCACCTGAATCCACCCTCATTCAGCAACGTGGACAATCAGCTTTCAGGGATAGAGAGAACAATCTTGAAAATAATTACTCGGAGGACCATGGATTCATTTGACCGATGTTTCTTCTGTGCCTAACCCTACTGCCCTCAAACCGGTGTGGAGGATGGGGACACATAAGTGAAGGAGGCCTTGATATTATTTTCAAGGAATTTCTGGTTTTGAAGAACAGCCAGATTTATAAAGAAATTATAACTTCCTGTTTTAAAACACTAAAATTACAAGGCATGCTCAGACTTTTAGAGGCTCACAGAGAAGAGCATGACTATCAAAGCACTTAGCAAAACCCTAGCTACAAGTGCTATTTAGAATGATGACCCAGGGGCCATACTTTGAAAACCTTCTAACTCCCCTGGCCAGTGTTGCTCAATGGTTGAGCATCGACCCACCAACCAGGAGGTCACAGTTCGATTCTGGTCAGTCCCAGCACATGCCAGGGTTGCAGGCTCAATCCTCAGTGTGGGGTGTGCAGGAGGCAGCTGATCAATGATTCTCATCATTGATGTTTCTATCTCTCTGTCTCTCTCCCCCTCTTCCTTCCTCTCTGAAATCAATGAAAACATATTTAAAAAATTAAAAATGAAAATCTCCTAAGCTCTAACTTTGAACCAGTTTGACTACAAAAAAGCAATCTCTCAGACCACATTAGACAAACCCCTTTAAAAAAAATAACCACCACTAGTTGCTTTTTATGTCCTTGGATTTTATTAAACACTAGAAGCCCGGTGCACAATAATTTGTGCACTGGCAGTGGGGGGGGGGGGGGGCTCCCTCAGCCCAACCTGTGCCCTCTCACAGTCTGGGACCCCTCGGGAGATAACCACCTGCTGGCTTAGGCCCGCTCCCCTGGTGGCAGAGGGCAGGCCCAATCCCACGGTGTCTGCCCCATCTCCCCTGGTCGCAGATGGCAGGCCCGTATCCGTGCTGGGAAGGGTGGCCAGTAAGATCGTACTGCCGCCCACCCCACCCACCCCGCCCCACACACGCAGGCCTGGGATTTCCCTGCCTCCTGCCCTGGGCCACACACAGCAGGCCTGGACCCCAGGATGGGGTGGGCGGCAGCTGGGGATCTTGCTGCCGCCCACCCCGCCTGCCCCGCCCTGCTCCGCCCGCCCCACCCCACACACAACAGGCCCGGATCTCTCACTGGGGCGGGCGGTGGCTCAGATTGCGCTACCAGCCGCCACACCTGCCCCCCTCAGGGCGCTGCCGCCCGCCCCGCCCGCCCCGCCCTGCATATGGCAGGCCAGGATCTCCTGCTGGGGCGGCCAGCGGCTGGGGATCGCGCTGCCGCCAGCCCCAGGAGGGGCGGCGCAGTGGGATCTGCCTGCAGTATGCAAATTAGCCGCCATCTTTGTTGGCGGTTAATTTGCATTCACACTGATTAGCCAATGGAGGCGTAGCGAAGGTACGGTCAATTACCATGTTTGTCTATTATTAGATAGGATAACAAGAAATATCCATATGAATTTTGCTTTTGCTTATGTTGTTCAAATCTTGATTGCTTTATAACATCATTCATTGATTCCTAATAAAGTCACAAGAGAAATTACCTTTAGAAGTTAGTGCTACAGAAAAAAAAAATCTATGGTCTGTCTCCTCTGATAAACTGATTCCTTTCAGATGACAAGATCTATTCAACATGTACAGTGTTTTCATTCTTACCCTGCAGCCAGGAACTGAGAACTAAATTTCAAATTTAGTCACAGTCGCCGAGACCGGTTTGGCTCAGTGGATGGGGCGTCGGCTTGCGGACTGAAGGGTCCCAGGTTCGATTCTGGTCAGGGGCATGAGCCTTGGTTGCGGGCACATCCCCAGTGGGGAGTGTGCAGGAGGCAGCTGGTCGATGTTTCTCTCTCATCGATGTTTCTAACTCTCTATCTCTCTCCTTTCCTCTCTGTATAAACTCAATAAAATATTAAAAAAAAAAGTTTAAAAAAAAAATTTAGTCACAGTAATTTTTTTAAAGAAAAACATTTCTTTTTTTAAATATATTTTTATGGATTTCAGAGAGGAAGGGAGAGGGAGAGAGAAAAAGAGGAACATCAATGATGAGAGAGAGAATCATTGATTGGCTGCCTCCTGCACGCCCCCTACTGGGGTTGGATCCTGCAACCCAGGCATGTGCTCTGAGTGGAATCTAACACATGACCCTTCAGTCCACAGGTGGATGCTCTATTCAGCTAGGGCTGTCACAGTCATTTTTAAATTATTAGGATAATTTTGATCTTTTTTAAAAAATATATTTTATTTATTTTTTACGGAGAGGAGGGGAGAGGGATAGAGAGTTAGAAACATTGATGAGAGAGAAACATCCATCAGCTGCCTCCTGCACACTCCCCCGCTGGGGATGTGCCCGCAACCAAGGTACATGCCCTTGACCGGAATCGAACCTGGGACCCTTCAGTCCACAGTCCGAAGCTCTATCCACTGAGCCAAACCAATTAGGGATGATCTTTTTCTTTGGCCCTAATGTTCCATTTCGAGTTTTCTAGACTACCGTTACCCTTCTTTGTGTCCTTATGGAAAGGAGATAGGATAAAATAAATGTAACATCTAATATGCACAGTCATTTTAGAATTATTTCTGCTATTTGTCAAACATAAATGCAAAAAAGAAATTGACCTATGTTTGATCCTTATGAAATTTGGATTAACTGGGGAGGACTCAGAGAAAAGCAACAGAAAGGGACAAAAAATGGGACTGAGGTAGCATGTTCATATTCTCCAACTCAAATACAGGGGCATATTGATCAGACATATGACCTATTGGAGGAGAGTATCTAAAATTTAGATTGTTCTGGAAATTCCCAGAGATATGTCGAAGCAGACAGATCCCGGGGTCGTTGTCATTATTTAACATATATGAGTAAATATAAAAACGCTTCAACCTTTTTTGTATCACAGATCCCTTGGACCTGCTCCCTAGTAATATACAAGCGCACCGTTTCCGAAAGTGGAACCTTCCTGGTATCCATTTATTATTCCAGAATATCAAAAGCACTTTTCCGCGGGCCCTGCTGTCAAGAATTCAGAGACCTGAGCTGGCAAATCAGCTATCCGCTGAAGTTTTTAACAGACACCATTCTTAAACGGCTTAAACTAGTTTTGGTTGTTTTCTGTTTGTCTTTGACCATTTTGAGTAACAGACCTCTCTGAGGAGCTGATGAAAGTATGGGTCAACTACCCTAAAATACACACAGACACAAAATTGTGCACTTTCGTGGGATTGGTGGACTTCCTGAAGTCCATCCTCAGACCTCGGGTTCTGTTTAAACTGACACTTCCTGGAATCAGGGGAATGCCCTTGAGGACTTTTAAAAATCACCCTCTCCTTTTATCGCGGGGCAAGGACTAGATTGGAGGTTACGGGACCCCTAGACGCCAACCCCGACGCCTCTCCACACACCCCTCCGAGCTGGCCGATCCGCTCCCCCTCCCCCAGGCCCGTGCGCGCAGGTGCGAAACCCTAAAGGGCCACCCGGGAGCGGAGGCGAGGGAGGGGGTGGGCGTTGGAACCCTGGGAGGGGCGGAGGCGGGGGCCTTCCCTTCGTTGCCTGGCGACCAAGTTCTCCGCCCAGGCCGTTCCATTTGCTCGGTAGGGGGCGCCGGCGGCGGACCGTGGCTGACGGACCTCCCAGAGCGGCCCTCTTCCGGCGTCCCACCCCCGGCCTGGCGGTGGGCACGCCCGTGACGTCACAGGAGGCGGGGCCAGCGCCGCTGCCGGGTGCTGGAGGCGCCATTGGAGCCGGCTTGGCTCGGGAGCTCCGCTGAGCAGGCGGAGGTTGGGCCGCAGTCACCGCCGCGTCCGCTCCTGGTCCCTGGCCCGTCAGCGGCATGGCGTGCGGGGCGACGTTGAAGCGGCCCATGGAGTTCGAGGCGGCGTTGCTGAGCCCGGTTTCCCCGAAGCGGCGGCGCTGCGCCCCGCTGCCCGGCTCCACTCCGGGCCTCAGGCCCCCGGACGCCGAGCCGCCGCCGCTTCAGATGCAGACCCCACCGCCGACTCCTCAGCAGCCCGGCCCGCCCGGCAACGAGCGGCGCCTTCCGACTCCGGGTGAGCGGCGCTGCGGGCTTGGCAGGAAGCCAGGCCCTGGCACCGGGAGGGGGCTGCGGGGGGAGGGTGATGGGCGCTAGGCTGATTGACCCCCGACCCCTTCTCCGTCCTGAGAAAAGGGAACTGGGGTGCCGCTGGGCCTGCGCGCTTCCGGGGATGGGAGACATCCGGGAGGGGCGGTGGGGCCACAGAGCCCGTTTTCTGTTTTCCTGGAGCTGGAGAGCCTGGAAGGGTGGGCAGCCAGGGGGAGACGGGCACATCCCTGGCTGCTCCGGGCCCTCGCCGGGCCCCAGCCCCTCCTGCCTCCGCCGCCTGGGCCTGCACGGAGCCGCCTGGAGGTCCAGTGGGCCCTGGAACATGGGATTCTACTCACGAACCCGGCCTTGAGGGAGGGGGCCCGAGTGCGTGCTGGTCCGCGCTGCGCGGTAGCTCGTCGGGAGACCTGATTTCCAGGCGTCTGGAGGGACCCGAGGCCCCGCGGAAGTTAGGGAATCCGATCTCAACCCGACTACTTCTAAGGGACTGGACATGCTCTTTATTGTATGGCTATTGTACCATATATGGCGTGACCTCGGTCGGTCCTTGGCGAGAATTTGAGAATCCTCAAATGTACAGAGATATACAGAGGTTCCAGGAGGAGGAATTCAGCTCTCCTTAGCAAAGAGGGTCGCCTTCAGTCAGGGCATGGGCCACGTGAAGGGGAGAGCTGATGTGACCATCAAGTAAAAATTAATTTTAAAAAAATGTAACCATTGTGTGGGAGTTGAGGGGGAAAATGCACCAGAATTAATGTTTAGCAGTTTAAAGGGCGCCCGGAAATGGGGGGAGTCTCCGAACTGAACTTTGGCAAGTCGTTCCTTTGTGTGCTTTCTGTTTTTCAAGCATAAGCAAAACCTTGGAATTGCCATGAAATCATTCTTTCTTCACCCGCTTTCAGTTAGCAGTGAATGTCGGCTCTATGCCTCCTTTGCACATCCACCCTGCAGGTTCCAGGCCCTCGTCCTCTCTAACCAGCCTTCCTGCAGTCGCCAGCCCGGCCGCCCTGGACGGCCTGTCCTTACTCATGTTCACCTCCTCTTTATGCTGGCAGTCAAAGGATTTACCAGCTACAACCATCTCTTCCCTAGTCAGTCTTTCACACGTTTTCCACCAAACCAGGCCCCTGCTCTTTTCCCCCAGGCCCACCTGGCAGTGTCTGTGTTCTTGCCTTCCATCATGATGTTTTCCCCTGCTCTTTGCTAATCCAAATGCACTAATTTTCTTAAGTCTCCGTCCATTACCTGACTAACCCTGCCCCATGAGGAACTCCGTTCGACTTTAAATTCCCAGACCACTTATGTTGCACTGAAGAAGAATGTTTGCAGAAGTTTTTGTAAAAAGTCCTTCAAAGGCTGAGGGTGACTTTTTTTTTTTGTCCACTGCTCCTACAGCTACAAATAGAACTTCAATAAAATACAATTAATAGTTGCTCCATCTGTCTTGATGAATATTATGTAAATGTTTTATTTCTCCCAATTCTACTCTGTAGACTGATTTTATTGTAGTTCACATTACACTAAATGCATAATAAATTATTGCTGAATGTATTTGGGAGCCTAAAAATTTGCAGAGTGCTATAATGGGATCACTACTTTTTTAAACTTAAAATTTAATCTTCCCATACAGATCATGCAAACTAGCTTCTTGGTCATTGTATTGTAAAATATTCTGCTTAAAATATTCATTTGAAACACAATGACAATAGTGTGGTAAAGGCCTGGGATGGGCAGTGGGTGTGAGCTAGAAGGGATCAATGGGGGAAAAAGGGAACATCTGTAATACTTTCAACAATAAAGCGAAGTTGTTTTTTTTTTTTAAATTAAGTCTTTATTATTCAGATTATTACAGTTGTTCCTCTTTTTCCCCCCCATAGTCTCTTCCACCCGGTTCCCACCCCACCCCACCCTCTGCCCTTACCCTCCCCCCACTGTCCTCATCCATAAATGTACGATTTTTGTCTAGCCTCTTCCCACACCCCCCTCTACCCCCCCCCCCAGAATTGTCAGTCCACTCCTTTTCTATGCCCCTGATTCTATTATATTCACCAGTTTATTCTGTTCATCAGATTATTTATTCACTTGATTTTTAGATTCACTTGTTGATAGATGTGTATTTGTTGTTCATAATTTGTATCTTTACCTTTTCCTTCTTCCTCTTCTTAAAGGATACCTTTCAGCATTTCATATAATCCTGGTTTGGTGGTGATGAACTCCTTTAGCTTTTTCTTATCTGTGAAGCTCTTTATCTGACCTTCAATTCTGAATGATAGCTTTGCTGGGTAAAGTAATCTTGGTTGTAGGTTCTTGGCATTCATCACTTTGAATATTTCTTGCCACTCCCTTCTGGCCTGCAAAGTTTCTGTTGAGAAATCAGCTGACAGTCGTATGGGTACTCCCTTGCAGGTAACTGTCTTTCTCTTGCTGCTTTTAAGATTCTCTCTTTGTCTTTTGCCCTTGGCATTTTAATTATGATGTGTCTTGGTGTGGTCCTCTTTGGATTCCTTTTGTTTGGGGTTCTCTGCGCTTCCTGGACCTGTAAGTCTATTTCTTTCACCAGGTAGGGGAAGTTTTCTGTCATTATTTCTTCAAATAGGTTTTCAATATCTTGCTCTCTCTCTCTTCTCTGGCACCCCCATAATTCGGATGTTGGTACGCTTGAAGTTGTCCCAGAGGCTCTTTACACTATCTTGATATTTTTGGATTCTTTTTTCTTTTTGTTTTTCCGGTTGGGTGTTTTTTGCTTCTTCATATTTCAAATCTTTGACTTGATTCTTGGGATCCTCTAGTCTGCTGTTGGAACTCTGTATGATATTCTTTATTTCAGTCAGTGTATGCTTAATTTCTTGTTGGTCCTTTTTCATAACCTCGAGGGTCTCACTAGATTTCTTGAGGGTCTCACTAAATTATCAGCAGTTTCTAGAAAATTCTTGAAAAACCTTAAAAGTGTGGTTTTGAACTCTATATCCAGTAGTTTGCTTTCCTCCATTTCTTTCATTTGTGATCTGTTTCTTTGTTTCCGCATTTTTTATGCTTCCCTGTGTTGATAGAGTGGCTTTGTGTGCTAGGTGTCCTATAGAGCCCAGCGGCTCAGCCTCCCCAATTACCTGAGGTGGACACTCTTGGTGCACCCCCTTGTGGTCTTTGTGCACAGTCTTGTTGTAGTTAAGCCTTGATTGTTGTAGGTATCACTGGGAGGAATTGACCTCCAGCCAATTGGCTGAGAGAATCAGCTGTGTCTGCAGTGGGAGAACTTCTGTGCTGGAGACACCCTTCTGGGGCAAGACTTGCTTCATTGGGATTTGGTGCTCACTGAGTCTGCCCCCTGAGTGTGTCCCCTATGGATCTGAGGAGTTGTAATCTGGATGGTCCCACTCTGACCACTGGGTACACTGGCTCTAGGATCTCTAAGGAGGTGCTAATTTAGCCTCTGCCTGAGGCTACCCATCAGGAGCTATGGAGAGATCTGCAGATTCCTCTTCTTTGTTTGGGGTTTGAAGGTGCCCAGATGAGGCCCAATGCAAGCTGCTGTGGGGCCTTGAGCCTTCTTTTGGAAGTTCTGGTTTTCTCTGACCCAGCTGCAGTTTGTTAGGTAATTTTCAGATTTCAAAGGGTCAGCCTTTGATATGCAAAAGCCTCTGAGCACAGCTTGGGTGGGGCGGGGTCTCAGGGGATCAACAGGGCGGAGCAAACAGCTATGGCTGATCCTCAGTCCTACCCTAAGAGGCCCTGCATCTCAGTGTCCAGGTAATCGCTGCAAGCACCTCTGAGAGAAAGCTGCCCTTGAGTTCCGCCCAATGCCAGACAGTCCAGTTTTTCCCGTATGAGTCTGGGTCCCCAGAGACTCACCCAGAACTGGAGTTCAGAGCAATTGGGAGCTTGAGACTACCTCCCTATTGAAAAAGACAACCGCATCCTCAGTTGCCAACCCTTTCCATGTGCACCTCTGTACCTCTGCACTTCCACACCTCCTCTGAGTCTTGGTATGCTTTTTCTTTCCTTCTAGTTGTAGCATTTCCACTCAGCCAGCCTTCCTGTGGTTTTGGATGATGTCCGTTTTGTCTTTTAGTTGTATGTTTGAAGTGGTTGTGCGAGGCAGCAATTTCCGGTGTGTTTACCTATGCTGCCATCTTGGTTTCTCTCCAAGCAGAGTTTTAAAAAATAAATAAAGTATTCATTTGTAAAGATTGATCAATTATGTTTCTTATATTAGAATAGGGTTCTGTTAAGAAAGAAACAAAGTATGAATGACTTATTAGTGCTTTGGCTTACATGAAAGATACCCTCTGGGTTAAAAAATATGGGGGAGGAAATATTAGTTGCTATACAAGTAGAAAGAATAAAGCCAATTAGTAGAAAAGTGCATTTAAAAATCAATGTCTCCACTCTGTAACATCCTAGTCATTATCTCAAAGGTTGTGCAATTCTCTCAGAAATGTTTTATTTCAGAAAAAGATATGTCACAGTACTTTTTGTGGTAAAAGCCTATAAAATTAAATATTTTATTGCTTAAATGAGTGAGGTGGATGGATGGAGGTATGGAGGGGGGTTGTTGAACTCGAAGATATTTGTAAACATGGAGTGAGTAGATGAAAAGCATTAATTGATCATGAATTGGGGGCAGGAATAACTTCCAAATGAGGTAGCATTTTAGCTGGGTCTTAAATGTTGGAAGGGTAGAAACAGCCCCATTTCAAGCAAAGCAAAATTGCTTGAGCAAAGGCCAGAAAACCCACAAATGAAGAAAAGGATAGTTTAATGCAACTGGGTTATATTGGGAGATGGAACTGGCAAAAAAAAAATGGACTTAGTCTGATAAAACGTAGAAGCACAACCTCAAATAATGAGAGGCAAAGATTAAAATTATCCACTGTTAAAAAAGAAATTTGCTGCCTGGCTGGTGTAGCTAGTTTGAAGGGCAACCTATGAACCAGAAGGTCCTGGTTCAATTACCAGTCAGGGCCACATGCCTGGGATTGTGGGCTCCATCCCCAGTATGGGGCGTGCAAGAAGCTGCCTATCAATGAAAATCTCTCATCATTGACATTTCTCTCTCCTTTTCCCTTCCTCTCTTAAATCAATAAAAATATATTTTAAAAAAAGAAATTTGCAGTTTTCTTTTTAAAAAAAATATGTTTTTATTGATTTTTAGAGAGAGAGGAAGGGTGTGGAGAGAGAGAGAAACATTGATTGACTGCCTCTTGCATAACCCCTGCTCAGGATCAAGCCCTCTTCCAGGGCATGTGCCTTGACCTAGAATTACACCAGGGACCTTTCAGTGCATGGGACAATGCTCAACCAACGTTCACCCAGAGCAGGCCAGAGCAGAAAGTTGCATTTTTCTTTTTCTTTTTTTTTTTAGATGCCTTTGCCTGTTACATGTGGCCTTCTTGGGAAGAAAATCACATCTGCTTCCTTATTTTTCTCCTGTGTGTATCATGTTTAGATTCTTGGACTTGCTAATCCTTCTGCCATCCTCAAAATTGTATCTTTCCATTTGTTCACTTTGCCATGCAGGAGGCAGTGGAAGGTTTATCAAAGATCTTCTGTTCTCATGAGCCTTGTCCTCATACATTTTCTTCTTGTTTCAAGTCTTTTCAATTACTTACAACCTTGTATTGCATCTGGCACATGTGTGCTTGGAGAATATATTTTAAAGATGAAGCAAAGACTTCATAAATTGAGAGATCTAACACATGAACTTTACAGCATTCTTAAAGGAAAGCTTTGCTAAATACTGCATTGTTCCAGTGTTTAGGCTGAGTGTTTAGTTATGTGTGGAGCTACTTTGAATTTGTCAGTTCCTGGCCTTGTACCATCATTTGTTATGGCATTATTAATGTCTTCGATTTTTCATTCTCACAACTTTATTGGGCAGACATTTAGCATTTATATTGAAGAACTGGGCTAAAGATCTTGAATGACTTCCCAAGGTCATAGTCACACATCTAGGAAGAAGCAAATTGAATTGTTAACACTTCCCCCTCCCTATTAAAAAATAATAACATACCTAGAGGAAGGTATACATTAGAATAATGTGAGTTGGGGTGGGTAATATAATTTTCTGGGTTTTAGGAGCCTTTATTATCTGAAAAGTGAATATACATTCTACCACAAAAACAAACAAACAAAAAAACTTGCAAACCACATCCTTCCAGATTCTGTGTTGTCTCTAGGAATGTATTCAAGGTGGTTAGTATTTGTGTGTCCTGGACTCCTTTTAATAGTGTTCGTTTTTTTATTACCTTGACTCAGAATAGTAACCTGAATCCTACCAAATATTGCCTCTTATAAAATCAAAAAATTCTCTTTTAAGTCCTGTTCATGAATTCCAAGCAATAAATTTCAGATCTTCCTCTAGCTATGAATATAATGGTTTCTGCTTTCCTCTTCTCTAAAGATCTTGAGTCCAAACAGGACAAGAGCCTTGGGTGGTAAGAGACTCACCCCTAGTGCCCTGACTTGTGAAATTGTGCAACTTAAGGAAGATAAAAAATAGTTCCCTATTAGGTGAAAGATTTTTTTTTCCTTGGAAGTTGTAGTTAATGCTACAGCAAACAGTAACTCTGGTCTTCATTGTCACTGGAAACAAGCAAAGAGAACTGTCTGAGTGGCATATGCCAAAATAATAGCTATTCTACATATTGTTGAAATAGTGATAATAAGAGGGCACACTTTGGGGGTTATAGGAGGAATAGTTTATTCAGTATAAATATTTTTCTTGTTAATATTTATTACATGGGGAGAAGGATAAGAAGTGACTCAAGTGAATGTTCATGTGTGTTTCTTTTTTTATTTAGAGCAAATTTTTCAGAACATAAAACAAGAATATAGTCGTTACCAGAGGTGGAGACAATTAGAAGTTGTTCTTAATCAGAATGAAGCTTGTACTTCAGAAAGTCAGCCTCACTCCTCAGCACTCACAGCGCCTAATTCTCCAGGTAAGTATACTTTAATTTGCACAGCCCATTTAAGAGTTTGTAAATGGTACTTAAAATGATGGGGACTGCTCAATGGGTAAGTGGTGTTACTTGGGAGTAGTAGAAATGTTTTGAAACTAGATAGAGATGGTGGTTGTACAACCTTGTGACTATGCTAAATTGTTCACTTTATGTCACTTTCACCGCAAATAATTTTTTTAAAAATATATTTTTTTGATATTTTTACAGAGAGGAAGGGAGAGGGATAGAAACATCGATGAGAGACTAATATCAATCAGCTGCCTCCTGCCCGCCCCCTACTGGGGATGCACCCGCAACCAAGGTACATGCCCTTGACCGGAATCGAACCTGGGACCTTTCAGTCTGCAGGCTGACGTTCTATCCACTGAGCCAAACCGGTCAGGGCACCGCAAATAATTTTTTAAAAATTCTCTTATGCTGAACCAGTTTGGCTCAGTGGATAGAACGTCAGCCTGCAGACTGAAAGGTCCCAGGTTCGATTCCGGTCAAGGGCATGTACCTTGGTTGTGGGTGCCCAGTAGGGGGCGTGCAGGAGGCAGCTGATGGATCTTTCTCATTGATGTTTCTAACCCTCTATCCTTCTCCCTTCCTCTCTGTAAAGAAACCAATAAAATATATTTTAAAAAATTCTCTTATAACCCAGAGGTTTTGGCTCTGAGCCCCTTTTCTAATTGCTCTTGCACATACATAAGTGGTAGACCTTTCAATGGTTATAGCTAACAAGTCTCAATTTTAGTAATACAATTTTGGTTTTTTGTTAGTCCTGATTTTTAGAGAGAGTGGAAAGGGGAATGGAAAGACAGAGAGAAACATCGATGTGAGAGAGACACATCGATTGTCTCCTGCATGCACCCCAACCAGGGTCAGGGATCAGGCTGTAGCCGGTGTATGCCCTTGACTGGAATCAAACCTGAGATCCTTCAGTCTATGGGCTCACACTATCCACTGAGCCAAACTGGTTGGAGCTAATTTTGAAGTAATAGAATATGTTATGGGTAGAGAAACGAGTACAGATAATAACTGGCTAGACATTTTGGTCAAGTTTCATTTGTAGAGGGGGAAAAAATTGGTTTCAGCAAAAAAAAATTATTTGTTTCAGGCTGTTGAATATTTTTATAGACTAAAGGCCAAAGAAACAAATTCCAGGCTAAGCCTTGAAAAACAACTCAGAACTGGACTACCAATGGAACTGCTTTTAAAAAATCATGATTAGGAAGTCAATTTCCATGTTTTCTGGCTTTCCAGTGGATATTTTGGTTCCTAACTACTATGTTATAAACATTTCACTCTTCTTGGCCCAGATTCAAAAGGGATCAAGGATGAGATATATAGTGGTTGTCTCATTCATATTTCAATGACTTTGCTAATAATTTTTTATATTGAGCAAGTCATTTGCTCTCCATAAGTGTCAAACTTTTTTTCTTATCAAAATCACCCATGGAACTTAAAAGATTCTGAAGCCCTACCCCAGAACTAGTGCCACCGTTAATTATGATGCACCACCTTGGTTAAACATAGGTCTAGTGATCTCCAAGGATCTGGGGAGCTCTCATGCAGTCAGTCTACTTTTCCTAATCTAGATTAGAGGCTTTATATCAGCTTTAAACTTTTTTTCTTATTCTTGACCCAGAAAGCATTGAGTGGGCCCTGGTTGTTATGGCATCAGAACTATTTTTTTGTATGCAGGTGAGCTAGCATACTTGGATACATGTTGTTTCTCTTCTCAATTTACCTTTGTCCTTGCTTTGTAAACAAATGTCAGAAACTGAGAATTTTGTGGAAATATTCCATGTAAATTAGTGAAAATATCATTTTTATAAACAATTTTTATATCCTAGGACTGTTTGCATGAAGTTATTAATTCTGAACTTTAGAACTAGAATTTGTAAACTAGATTTGTGTTTTGGCTAGGTTCCTCCTGGATGAAGAAGGACCAGCCCACCTTCACTCTCCGACAAGTTGGAATAATATGTGAGCGTCTCTTAAAAGACTACGAAGATAAAATTCGGGAGGAGTATGAGCAAATCCTCAATACCAAACTAGAAGGTAGGCTGAGGTAGTGGCTATGCCATTGTTAATAAAGTTCAGTAAAGATTAACCCCAATTAAGTAAATAACTTAGGAGGACATCCTGCAAGAAGACTTAATGAATTGTGATTATTAAGTTATTCCTTTTGGTGATTGTACATGTTTCATTTATATATTATATGGAAGGACTTTTTATTTACATTTCTGAAAAAGGATAAGCCAAGCTTTTCTGAGAGTTTTTCATATGAACAAAAGCATTGAGTAGACTGTTTGGGCTGGCTGGCTTGTGAACTGGTGGTTGGGATAGTGCTAACCATCAATAGATGATTGGGAGGTGTGGAGTAGAGTTAACATAATCAGACTTCCTGGTGAGAGTCACTTAGATTATGTGGGAAGTCAGGCTTCCTGTGATTTGGAGGCACATTAGAATAAAGTTTGGAAAGCACCACTTAGGCAAGAATAAAAGGAGTGATTAATGGTGGCAACAAGTTAGAGCCTTTTCTGAAAGGCAGGGATCTGACTCAGTACCTGTTAAGTGAAAGAGGAGGGTGTTGTGATCAGAGAGATTTTAGGCAACAACTTCTTCCTTTAACTGTTGTTTCCTAACTTGACCCACACCATGTGGTGCCTCAGAATGTTAATAGGCCTGCTGTAAATTGAGAACTGTTGGGGTTAGCAACAAAATTAAATGGATTTCTTTATGGTAGAACTTCTTTTAATATACTAATAATGTATAAGAAGAAACTCTTGTATATCATTCTCCTCTCCTACCACCACCCCAAAATTGTTCAGACCAGCTGTCTCTAAAGCACTTCTGTAGCACAAACTATCATTAGGTAGAATGAAATTTTCTCCTAGCTTTTAGCCATCCCACCTTTTCACTCAATGTGTATGATGAAATTTAGAGCCATGGTAGAGTACAGCAAAGGGCTTCAAGCTTCATGTTTTATAAGAGATATCCTAAAATTTGCTGGCGCAGTAGTGAGCATGTCCGTCTGTCTTAGGAAGCCATTAGTAGGGGATAGAGTTACAGCAGGGACAAGATTATTAGGGAAGTGTTATGCTGTAGGTCAGTGATGGCAAACCTATGACATGCGTGTCAGAGGTGACACGCGAACTCATTTTTTTGGTTGATTTTTCTTTGTTAAATGGCATTTAAATATATAATATAAATCTTTGTTTTACTATGATTCCAAATATCAAAAAATTTCTATATGTGACATGGCACTAGAGTTAAGTTAGGGTTTTTCAAAATGCTGACACGCCGAGCTCAAAAGGTTCGCCATCACTGTTATAGGTGATAGTGGTTAAATCTAGGAGCCAGGGATTTGGGTCTAGCATCTAAGAGGAAGTAACAAATCTCAAGAGTGATTGTTGTAAGAGGTCCTGGGAATAAATAAACAGGGAAGCTAGATGTGATCCTGACACTTGATTCTTGAAAACTGGGGAGAGTTTCCGGGAATAGTATATACTGTCTTGTCCCTCACAGAACAATATGAATCTTTTGTGAAATTCACACACGACCAGATTATGCGACGATACGGGACAAGGCCCACCAGCTGTAAGTATTGCCAAGTTTCTTTGAATTACCCAACTTCCAAGAGCAAAATTTTACAACTGAGTACTTTGTCTCCTGATAGCAAAAAGCCCTTGTGAAGTAAAATAATAGCTATCACTTAAGAATATTTACATGCCTAGCACCATGCCAAACCCTATGAGGGAAGAACTATTATTGTTAGCTCCATTATACTAGTAACAGTAGCACTTAAAGAAGTTAATTTGTCCAAGTTTATGTAGCTAGTGGTTCAGCCAAGATTAAAACCTACGTAGTCTACCTGACTTTTCCCCAGAAAGGTAGTTTCAATTGTTAATTTATGAAAGTTACCTAGTTAAGTTGATTTCTTAGACTAACTTGTCAAGAGTGTGGTCAGAATTTCTTACTTCTAACTATATATCCACTGAACCTGACTCAGATTTCTTAAATTCTTCAAGATTTAGGACCTTTTAAGTGGTGATTCATATTCTCCATGCAGCTTATCACATTTACCATTGGTTGTTATTTAAAAAGCACACAATATTTTTTAATATTGTTACACGTTTTTGTTTTTATTCCTAATTTATAGATGTGTCCTGAAGCTTTCTTGCATATCTGGGTACCAGGTTTGACCTCAAGAGATGGCTGCTGTGCACTTTTTGCAACTGGTTTGATATCACATTTCAGCTCCAACTTTGCATCCTGAGAACACTTAAAGGTTTCTGCAGGTCCATTTTATACAACTTGAAAGACCTTAAAACTTTCTGGTTGCCACAAGCATATCTTTCTTTTATGCTCATCCAATAAACAGCTGTGCCCTACTGTGATAGATTTTTGAAGCAAAATACCTGGAGCAGCAGTTTAGCAAAATATGCCCTCAGTGGCACTCAACAAATGGAGTTTCCCCAAGCACAGTTCTGTAAGAAGTGTGTGTGAGAGTGTATGTATATGTATGTATGTGTATTTTTAAGTTATTATTTGTATTGTGCAAATTTTTTTGATCTTGGGGATTCTGGCTGTGAATTTGATGCACGACAATTATGGTTAAAAACATTTGCTTGATCTACAGAAGATCATTAATGTTTTGTGACCATGTAAGTTGTAACAGTGGGTTGTTTTATGTGTAGGTATTGTTAAATACAGGGACTGTTTTCAGGCACAGAATATGAATCATACATTAGGATGGACATCAGATGTGATTATGATGACATAGCAAAGGTCTGTGGTCCTAGGTCTGTAAATGCGTGGTGAGGAATTAAAATAAACTGGAGACAGGCCATTTGACACATGGAATCTGCCTAGCTGTATTGGAATGATACTTTGACTCCAAGCCTTAAAATACCCATGTGGAGTCTGTGCTCACCTCATTCACACACAGAGCTCCCTGGACACTGAACCTCTAAACAGAAAAAGTCTCCCCCAGAGCAGGAGCATCAGGGTTTTCTCGGGAGCATCGACCAGGTGAGCATGGGCTGGGGCTGGGCCAGGCCCCGGCAGCACTGCTACTTGGGAGGAGCCACTTCACCTTTGTATCAGTTATTACATACAGATTTGGATCCTTTGGTCAGGTTCTCCCAAATTCTTTTAAGAGGTGTCCAAGTTCAACTGCTTGAGCTTTGTTTTGGCAACCCCCTGCCCAAAGTTGCTTACAGACTGTTCTTCACCTTGTTTTCAAGGCTGAGGAACAGAAAGTAGCCTCTGTTTTGAGGAGGTGGAAGTTAAGTATACATTTATTTTTTACTGTGACTTGTTCAGGACCACATTTTACAAATGCCTTGTTTTGTTTATTATCGTTTCTGGAAAGGAAAGTTCTATTAAAATTGTTTTAGTTTGAATATAGAATAGTTTTTTTAATTACAGTTTATTTTGAAAAATCTGAGTGTAATTAAAATGTATGCCAATACCTTCCAAAGTAAGGTTTACAGTTTATTTTGAAAAATCTGAGTGTAATTAAAATGTATGCCAATACCTTCCAAATATTCAGACAGTTCTGATCAGATGGCTTAATTTCTGGAATATTCACATTGGAAGATTCCTTATTAATGAATGTCTTTGACTTAAATCTAACCAAAAACTGCAACGTTATTCTTTGTACATTTTCATTATATAGTGTTAACAAGCTTAGTTGCAAACAAATAAAATACTTAAGCTATTTGTTTACCTTGCCTTCTTAATACTGTGATGATGTTTATTAAAATAATTTACGTGAGGCTGCTATAACCACTTCCTCATTTTAACATTACATTTAAGAGTTACAGACTTTTTTTTAAGCCCAACAGTGATCTTTTGATAATTAAAGAATTATTTTACTTCATATTTGAAGGACAATTTGTTTCATCTTTTTTTTCCAGAGTAGTCACTTGTTCCTGAAAGAGGAACATAATAGTGGCAGTAATGGGAGTGGCCTTACAGTGGGATAGCCACACCAAAACAAGGGAAGGGCAGCTGTGGGGGCCATCAGCAGTCCTGAAGGATGGATCAGGAACAGGGAAACTGCCTCACTTAAATCTTCTTGTTACAGAATCAGTGTGATGTGCTCACTCAGTATTGTGAGTGTCAGCCCCATTCTTACTGAATAGCTTCTGGCTGGGAAATAGAGTTAAGTTTCGGTAAGGAAAATGACATGCTATTGTATTATGATATGGTTGCTTTTTGGGGCCACATGGTAAGACCACACCACCATGGTTGGATTTAGGGATCTCCTTTAAAGGGATTAGACATGTTTGCTTAGTGTTTTATCCAGGTAAAAGACATCCTAGAACAGAAAATGGAGACTTGTAAGATAGGCCTTAGACTAGAAAAAGGAGTTTTCTCTAGACCTTGATTTCTAGAATCTGAACTAAGGCACATTCCCATGTAGGGAAGTATCTTTATCTCATGAGGATAGGTCAAGGCCCAGGGAAGAAGTGGTCTCAGAACAGCCATATCTAGTGAGTTAAAATATTTTGTGTTTTTGTTTTAGTTGTTATCCTCTTTAAAGCCTTGAGTTTAAGGACAATCTAAGGAGTAAGTGTCCCTCCCTAAGTTAGAGGAGTTCAGGGGAGATCAAAGTTTTGAGTCAGTGATAATTGGTAAGAGCTCCCCAAGAAGAACATCAGGGGATATAAGAATTTGGGCCAGCTTCCATACATGGTGAATCTTCTCTGCCCACCAGGAAGGATTGTTTGGTTAGTGTAACAGTTAAAGAAATGGCCTTTGGATGTTTGTAACCCTAGACTTTAGTCTGCCCTGCCACTATTTTACTATGTGAGCCTTGCCAAGTTACCGAACTTTCTGAGCCATAGTTTTCTTACCTGTAAAACAAGGATTAATTGTATGTACATCGTTGGGTTTTTGTTTTCAAATAAATGCAAGATTAGATTAAGTCATGTCAATAAAGTATTTAGCACAGCTTGGGACATAGGCTATGCACTTAAAAATGTTACAGGAGGTTTCTTTACAATGGTCATCATCAGCTCTGAAGACCAAATTCTTCCTTTCTGCAGCAGTGATTCTCAACTTTCCAGTATGAAGAGTCCTTTGTTAACAACAAAATTTCACATTCTCTTATTAGAATTTGTACTTTTAAGTGTTTGACTAAGAAAACAATAAAAGATGAATGACAAATGAATTCAGTGATGCCTTTCAGTGAATTTGTATTTTGTTACTCACTAAATCAGGGGCCAGCAAACTGGCCTGTTTTTGTAAATAAAGTTTTATTTGAACACTGCCACACCTATTAATTGGCATCTGGCTGCTTTCACACTGCAACTCCAGAGACAGACAGTATGGGCCACAGGGTTGAAAATATTCTCTGGCCCTTTACAGAAAAGTTTGTGAGCCCCTGCACTGTAGTATTGATATGCATTTGAAAAGCTCACAAACAAGCACCACGTGTCATGGATACGTCCTAATTTATCATTCCTAGGGGAGTTACACATTAGTTTGAAGTGTGATGAAAAAAGCCTCTTTCTACAAATGAAAATTGACTGCCAAAGTGAGTTATAGAAAAAGTAATGAACTTAGAGCAATGATTCTAAAGGATGGGGACGGAGTATACTATCAGAGGGGGAAAGGCTTAGAATGACTAGTTATTTTATCTTTGGCATATTTAATTTTGAAATTTTAGATACAAAAGTGGATTATGAGGACTTCGTGTGTATTAGAACATAGCATGAGTTTAAAGAGAGTTTGTTGCCGAAACCGGTTTGGCTCAGTGGATAGAGCGTCGGCCTGCGGACTGAAAGGTCCCAGGTTTGATTCCGGTCAAGGGCATGTACCTGGGTTGCGGGCGCATCCCCAGTGGGGGGTGTGCACGGGCGGCTGATGTTTCTCTCTCATCGATGTTTCTCTCTATCTCTCTCCCTTCCTCTCTGTAAAAAATCAATAAAATATATTTTTTTAAAAAAATAGAGTTTGTTAAATACTGTTCTTAAGAACTGACTTCTTTGCTGTCGTGGTGATTCCTTGAAAACAGCTTCTGAGAACAGTTGCAGCCTTCTATAGCTGCAGTTAAACTGGATCATGGATAAGGTTGACCCCTTCAGGAAGAAAGGAACAAGTTTACTTAGGGAAAGAGCTCTAGCTAAGTACCCCAATCCACACTTGTAAATAATTAGCACTTTATTGCAGGGAGGGAATAACTTTGTCTAAAATTTTAATACCTGAAGTCTTCATGGGTCTGTTGTTTTTACTGATTGTTGTTTATAGTGCCTTTTCTCGTTTCATGCCAGGTTATCTGTGAGCTGGACAGTATATTTGAAAAGTTACCCTATCTAATAAAAGAGAGACATGGTAATTGGCATACAACCACTACCCTTCCCATTGGCTAATCAGGGTTATATGCAAATTAACTGTCAGCCAAGATGGCGGCCGGCAGCCAGGCAGCTTGAAACTAACATGAGGCTTGCTTGCTTCAGTGACGGAGAAAACCAACGTTCCCCCGCCTGCCTTGCAGGCCTCTGAGCCTGCAGTTTGAAACATTTTAACAAATATAGAAGCTTAAAAAAAACCCCAGAAACAGCTTTCAGTGAGCTGGGATCTCAGAGCTGGAGTATACATTGTTTCGAACCGAAACAAACCAGATACCTACTTTCAGCAGCGGAGGCCTAAGAGCTGGAGCCTCAGAGCTAAAGCTGGCCCAGAATTAAAAAAAGAAAAAAAGGAGCAGTTGGGAGCTTCAGGCCAAGCCTGAAAACAGCCCTCAGCCCCTCACCCAGACTGGCCAGGCACCCCAGTGGGGACCCCCACCCTGAAGGGTGTGTGACCAGCTGCAAAAAGCCCTCAGCCCCTCACCCAGGCTGGCCAGGCACCCCAGTGGGGACCCCCACCCTGATCCAGGACACCCTTCAGGGCAAACCAGCCAGCCCCACCCATGCACCAGGCCTCTACCCTATATAGTAAAAGGGTAATATGCCTCCCAGCACTGGGATCAGCGGAGCCACGAGGCCTCCCAGCACCGGGATCAGCATGACAGGGGGCAGCGCCCAAACCCCCTGATCGCCCTGCAGCTCTGTGTGTGATAGGGGCCAGGGCCACAACCTCCCTATCCACCCTGCTCTGTTTGTGACGGGAAGGCGCCCCAACCTCCTGATCAGCCTTGCTCTGTGCCTGATACGGGGTAGCTCCCCAACCTCTGATGGACCCTGCTCCGTGCGTGACAGGGTAAGGAGCCCCAACCCCCTGATGGGCCCTGCTCTGTGTGTGACGGGGCAGCGCCCCAACCCCTGGATTGACCCTGCTCTGTGCGTGACGGGGTGGCGCCGCAACCTCCCCATCAACCCTGCCTTGAGTGTGATAGGGGGCGGTGCCCCAACTCCCCAATCGGCTCTACCCTGAGCATGACTGGGGATGGCATCGCAACCTCCCAATCCGCCCTGCTCTGTGCATGACAGGGGGTGGCACCCCAACACCCCAATCGGCCCTGCTCTGAGCCCGACCAGGGGCTGCACCTAGGGATTGGGCCTGCCCTCTGCCACCCGGGAGCAGGCCTAAGCCAGCAGGTTGTTATCTCCCAAGGGGTCCCAGACTGTGAGAGGGCACAGGCCAGGCTGAAGGACCCCCCCTTCCCCCCAAGTGCACAAATTTTTGTGCACCGGGCCTCTAGTTTGTAGAAATAAACAGTACAAGGATGACATACTTAACCTCTAAAAGGGATTTATTGTTGCCTATGGCTGGGAATAGTTTCAAACTTTCTTAATTCAGATTGAAGGCTGGAGGTCCCCTGGGTCATCCAGATGGCACACAACTAGGTATCCAGTCTATGTGAGGAAGGTTTACTTTTTTTTCTTCTTTATTAAGGTATTACATATGTGTCCTTACCCCCCCCCCCCATTGTCCTCTCACCCCCACCCCACCACTCATGCCCTCACCATGCTGGTGTCTGTGTCCATTTGGTTAGGCTTATATGTGTGCATACAAGTCCTCTGGTTGATCTCTTGCCCTTACCCTCATCCTCTCCTACCTTCCCTCTTGTTTTTTTGAGGTAGGTCTATTGAGCTATAAACTTCCCTCCCAGGACTGCTTTCATTGTGTCCCATAGATTTTGGATTGTGTTTTTTTGTCATTAGTTTCCAGGGTGTTTTTAATTTCTTTTTTTTATCTCTCTGGTAACCCAATCATTGTGTAATAACATGCTATTCAGCTTCGAAGTATTTGAATTTTTTAGATTGTTTTTATTGTAGCTTATTTCTAATATTATGCCATTGTGGTCTGAGAAGATGCGTGATATGATTTCAATCTTCTTGAATTTGGGGAGACTGCCTGTGACCCAATATGTCGTCTATTTTTGAAAATGTCCCATGTGCACTTGAGAAGAACATATATTCCGTGGCTTTAGGGTGAAATGTTCTGAAGA